CTGTACAAATTACAGTACATTGTAGAAGTTACCTCATTATTCTGCACCGCCATCGGTTTTTATTTCTGGATCTTGAGTTGTTTTGGTGATATAATTACTTGCGGCATACTATTTTGGGCGCCCATATAGGCGTGTACTATGTAGGGTAGCTCAACTCTCGTCGTGATGGTGGGATATAGCAGACAAATTAGAGACGAAACATTAGAGAGGAAACAAAGAGGTATTAGTATTAGTTATATCTAAACAAACAAAACGATGTCAGTCAAAATTGGATTCCTTAGCAACAAAAACAAGCAATGACACCGATAATGACCATGCATCAGAACCCTAGTCTTAACTTCTTCAACCTAGGCAATAACGAATAGAAGATTAGGAATCACATAGATGAAGACTAACTAACTCATTTTTTCCTTGTTTCAAGATCATCCTCGGTGGACAAAGCCGAGTCTTGTCACTATCAACAAGGCATAAAAAGTAACAAGGAGTAAGATGTGTTCATTGGATTACTGAAAAATCCTGTTCCCCTAGTTTGAAGTAGTAAGGACTAGGAATCGGTGGTAGATCTTACATCCCGTAACGTACCACGGAAAGGTGATCTACCCACGCTACGGGGCCATCTCATATCTTCCCTCTCCTTCGGTACAAAAGTTATTCAAGCTTTTTTTTATTATTATTAAATTATCATTCATATTTTAGTTACACCCTTAAATGCACCATATTTATGTTTATTTCAATGAGTTTACAATCAGCACATGAATTATACATAAAAAATGTAGTGTCAAACAGAAAAATTACAATCAATTGCTTTCGATATGGTTTAGTATGAATCTTTGAAGACTCTAAATCGGTACTATATGGCCGTTCCAAATTAACAACGTGACATATGGGCATCGTCTTACTTCGTTCCGTGATAATCATTTTCATTTCATTTTCATTTTCAAGCACAGAAGGGGGTCATAGGGCCAAGTCACCAGCGAAAAATCGCTGTCCATACTGCACCAGGGTAGAGGTATTAGATTTGGCATCACAGAATAATAACCACGGGGTCAAATGAATCCTGTTTACGATACCGGATAGTAAGGAAAGCTGTTGAACATAGTAACAGAGTAACAGCAATAATAGTGAAAGTTAGGAAAATAAGCAGGAAGAGATGGTTGATTTGCAATGGCTATCGACTCTGTTATATGGCCTACCGTATCAGATTCAAATTTAATGTCGTTTAATATTGCGCTTATTACTTTTATCTTTATTCTAAGCAATCTCCTTTCATACTTGTTTGTTTTAAAGTGAACTGGATGAAATGATTGTTTTATCAAAATTATGTTAAAGTTAACTACTATTCATATTTGCTAAATAATACCTAAATGTAATTTTTAATTTTATGAAGATAAGTTGCTCAGAATAGCAGCCTGTAATTCCGTACCAGAATCCGCCTCCAATTTAATGTCTTTTGTGGATTCGTAGTAGCAAAGTTGTGCTAAAAGCTAAATAGTTACCTAAAAATACTACCTAAATCGTTCACAATCAGAGCCGGGCCACTGATGAAAACCAAAACTACAACCCTGAAAAAACGAATCGATATTTTCGAAGGCGAACACAACCTATTCTTGCTAGTGATTCTGTCCAATTGTTAGGTATCCAAAGTATAGTCATTCGTAAATTTATTATTGAATATATGGATGAATTATCTATCATTGAATAACTATTATTTACGATAATTACATGAAAGAAATAACATATAAACTACAAACAAAACGTGACTACTAAAATCTCAAAAAGATATTCTCAAGTATATTTCACGCAACCAGGAATCTCAAAACCATTAGACGCTATAATGATACTCTGCACATGCTAGACACAAGAAAAGGCCAAAAAGCAAGCGTCCGACACACAAAACCCGCCAAATCCACTGGCAGTCACAATCAACGATTCTACGAATCGCGAGCGCTCACGAATCATAAAACCGCTGACTGCGACACTCTGAAAGCGAAAATGACAGGCTCTATGCGTCAAACACTCGCCCTCCAATCTCCACCCGCATCCAACAGCACAAATCTCCATTACAACATCTAACGAATTCAAAACTCCGAAAATCACTCATCTATAGCAAGTGAGTGGAAGCAACCCTGCATGCAACTATTCTTCATGATACGCTTTGTCTGTCTATCTTTCTATTAGGCCTGTGGACATGTGTTAGCTTCGAAACTTCTAACCAAACTAGGAAAATTTTGAAATTACAAAAAAAAAATATTCAAAGGTAATTACAAGCAAAATACATATTGATTATTTTACGCAAAACCGAGCAAGTAATATTAAATCTCTTGTATTGTATGCTAATGCTAATTGACTGTAACAAAAATAATATGCTTAAATAAAATAAAATATTAATAAAATGATATGCAAAATTAACTAGAAGGTCATTACTTTATTGGTGAGAAGTTTCTAATAAGCCCTCCCAGTTCCTCTGTATACAGAACAAATCTGATACTATAATCAGAATTGCTCAGTCTGCATGAAGCAGCCGATTTCATCAAGGAAGTTCTATAAACAACCAAGAATTAATCGTTTGAGGTATACTGAAGCATTAAGAAGGTGATATGTGTCACTATGGGAAATCATCATCGTTGCAAATATAAAGAAATTAAACATAACCCTTTGCTTCAGTACCGTCAACCTCCATGTCCATGGGAGGGTACTTCGTTCCGTGATAATCAAGTTCGAATTGAATATGCGTAACCTAAGTGTCCCTGCATATGATTAGTGTTCAAAAATCAAAACAATTCAAGTTTAATCATGTGCATAAAAGCAACACGTAGCACTGACCCCTACTCCAAATCTTGCCACCACCCTTCAACCCCCCCATGCTTTTCTAGTGAACGTGACGGAAAAAACGCTCCAAAAAAGCGAAGACGAACTGAAAGATATCATCTTGAATGCGATCTTTCTCAAGCCAATTGCGTCGATCAAAAGCTGCAGCATACTGCACTCGGTCGAAGATCTTAGCACCGATTCTACCGTTGTGTCTCACTCGAACCGGAACAGCAAACGGTACATCGCAACGAGGAGATGTACAACCGGATCAACGTCATCCTACTACCACCTAAGACGGAGCAGCAACAACAATGCCTTAATATTTTGCAAATCCGTCCTCACTCGCATTCAGAACTGCCGTCCTGGTTGCGTTCCTATCCTGTGGCAGTGCCACCACGAGGAGACGATTTTTTTTTTGCAAATCGGTCACGTTCAAATTTCCAATTTTTCTTGCAAGTGGGTGATTTCCCCTTTATTACCTAACAGGAGGTCTTCAAGATTCCAGGATCGCCAGAAATATGAAAATCTGACGTTATAATTATAGGCAAATCACCCACGACGCAGCTAATAAATGTTCAACTTACCCGTGCAGCAGCTTGAATCCAAATGTGAAAGGCCAATTGTCAGGAAATGTGTATGAAAAGTCATAGCCTACCTAGTTATTATCCATCTCACCATATCATACCACCGAATGGGTTGTCAAACTGTAGTTATTATTTAATGTAAAACAGCACACAAGATCAAGCCAAGTAAAAACAATTAAATGTATAGGCTAGTTTTACACATAATTTTTTTGGCGGGATAACTACTTTTTAGTTGGAATCTCGAGCAAAGTTTGAGATCAAATTTAAATCAAAATTAGCTGTTATGGTGTAATTTCTTTTTATTACTCCAGATGATCTAGTTTTATATGGATTAACGATTAACACAACAAAAATGAAATATTTTTTTTTTCTTCGGAAAACTAACGTTGCTTTCAATTAAATCAATTTGATTTTGCATTCATTACGTAACTGAATACGGGCCTGTCATAAATGGTTAGCATACATGCTTCTCATGCTGAAAGACTTGAGTTCAAATCGCACCCCGGACAAGTAACGAATGACCTAAAATGTGTTAAACAATACAAATAAACAATCACCCATATTCTCATTTTCGTTCGAACCGTATTTTCCATACAAAAAGAGGGTTTTTAGTTGAGATGAAATTAAATTAAATTTTCAACAATACGTTAACAGCAAACTTGAGGTTAAGTTGCTTTCATTTAAAAAACTCTTGACTACATAATGAAAGCACAATATGATACAACAATTGAAATCATGGTGAAGTTTTATTTTGATAGAAACAGCAAACTTTAATATCGGTTTGCATTCATTTAGAGTCGGTTAACACTTTACTCGGAATGACATCCAATTAGCGAACTTACAACTAAAAAGCACCCAAATGAGAAAGTCCCTAATGAGCGAATGATAATTGTACTCTGTCCCAGGAAAGTTGAAAAAATTATCAACGCGTGGTGCTGGGAAACTACAACCCTAAGGCTAACGAAGGAACGAAATAAACATTTTTTAAGTCTCAGTTGCCAATCTTTTTTTCCCCCAAGAACAGCCAATCACAATCGAATTTATTCTACAACAAAGCGAACATTCTGTATTCCCTTTTTTTTTCATTCAACCCAACACGTACCCATCAACGATTTGCATTATCATATCACTTATCCGATGCCGATAGTCCTCGTACCGCTCGAACCCATTCAGACTGGCTTGGACGAAAACTGCCGGCTTTCGCGATTCGTCGAACCAATCGGCACCGTTCACTATCTCGTAGCAATCCGGCGTCGGGGGCCAGTGAAAGTACATGCAACTTTCAATCAACCCCGCCAGATGGTACTCGCGGCACGATTCCAGGAATACTGCCCTTGGCAACAGATCCTCCACGTCAATCGAGTCGATTTCTGCTAGAAGGGAGCCTAACTCGTCGTAGTAAATATTTTTCCAAGCTTTGAGGTGTTTATTGCGGAACGAACTAAGCGTTGATATCATGATAAGCGACATCACATCGTACGCTGGTGGAGCTAGACGAGAAAACTGATAGTCGACGAGGATTGCATTGACGGGCACTGGAAGAGACCGGGGTTAGTTTTAAGCGTTGTGAGTGGTTATGTGGGGTGTTAGGTGGATGTATTTTACCTGGATCGCTGTTCGGTGCGGTTTTCTCCGGTTCTTCATATTTAAACATTAGATTATTGTTCCACAAATCACCATGGTTGAAAACATTCCTGTACTCTGTTGAAGGTCGGGCAAAGTCGTAAATTTTTCTAATCACTTCTGGAAACTTTTCCAGAATAAAATCTAGTTTATCGGAATTCTTGTATTTATCAATACGTTTTATCAGCTCACACAAAGCTTTGATTGCATTGTCCAGATTCGTTTTGCGGACATATTTATCGTCATCTATGTAGACATTCTCGTTCAGATGAACGGAGTAGAGTTTCATGATTGGCTGCTTGGTGCGTTCTTCCAGCACAAGAGAAGCAGCATGCAACTTGGCAACGGTTTTCAGTGCTACTTCCAAATGTGCAAAATCTAACAAACTCTTATTGTTCTCCAACATTTGATAGCCTTCCGCTTTAAGATTTTCAAAAACAAGCAGTTTTTCGCCTTTTGTAAGGTATGCCCTCGGAGCGAAAGGTTTCGTTCCTATCGTAACGTCCTGTAGTCTTGGTATAAGGTGGGTGTAGAGTTGAATTTCCTTCCTGAAACAGCCCATTTCCCGTACGTAATCTGCCAGTTTTGGCACCTGTTCTGGTAAAATTTTCAAAAAGAAGCTGAGATATTCTTCCTCCGCGTATTCTTCTTCCTCTGCCGAATAATGCACCATTTTTTCCCGCAACACCACATTCAAGAAGTAATGATCACCGAGATAACCGATAGGCTCTTCGCTTAATCGCTTCACATGATACGACAGAACTCGGAACTTCGCGTTATATTTATCGCGCTTCTCTTGAAGATAACGCTTCACAACCAACTCGACATCCTCTTCCGTGAGACCGAGCGCGACGGGATCGACCATGATAGCGGTGGTAGATTTGCTACGGGACGATAACGGTCGTGTGCCGAAACGTGTTCCTAGTACGGAAGCTGCTGCCGAACTGATAACAAGATGCCCTGGAGCTGCACCTTTTGGATAAGTCTGGAATGAGGAATGGGAGGTGGTAAATATAAAAGATAAAATACTTCAGTAGCGTCTGCTGGGGGTGGGTCAATGATAAGAAATGACAACTAGATAAGGTAACAATTGATAGGAAACTCATTCATAAATTCTACGAACCTAATCGTTCTTCAAATTACCTGGCAACATAATGTACTCATTAGAGGGTTTTCATTTATCGGTTCGTTAATCGATTAGTTGATTTTCCGAAAAAAAAATTAATGTTAAACATCATTTCAAATAATGAGACAATTTGAAAGGGACCGGGACTGAACACAAATTACGTCCCCTTCTTCTTCTTCCTCTTCGCATTTCAAGCTTATTGCTTATGGCATATTAGCTTATTGCGTGCTCTCAACTGAGTGTTCTAGATGCACTTCCACAGTTATTAATTGAGAGCTTTCGATGCTTGCTACCATTTTTGCATTGGTATAATTGTGTGGCAAGTCCAATCATACTCTATGCCCAGGGAGTCGAGAAATTTTCCAACCCGAAAAATTCCTAGACCGGACCGGGAATCAAACCCAGTCACCTCCAGCATGGTCTTGCTTTGTAGCTGCGCCTTTACCGACTGAGCTAAGGGAGGTAACTGAAATGAACACGAGAGCTAACCGGTTGGCGAAACTGCCCCACTTTCCCCTAACTATATTTAATTTAATTTAAATTTACTTTTCGTTTCGAAGGAAGAAACGGCTGCAGAAAGTTACAATTTCAAAGAAGTTTGAGCACAAACAAAACTGATTCAAACAAACATTGATACCGAAATCCTAACACGAGCGATAACTACTGTTTTCGGGTTTCAAGACTAACAGATCATCGGAATGGTCAACGGACCATTTTAAAACAGGGCGATGAGGTTTTAAACATTATTTTAACTGCTAAGCAACTTGCGCTTCACAAATTCAGCAAGATTTGAAATATCTTTGATATCGTGTGTGTGTTTTGCGTTTGGTTGGTCCGGCTTTTTCAATTGTTGGTCTTAAAACAGAAAACTTGAAAACCAATTTTTAATCCTTCTACTTCCTGACTTTCATGCTCTTACGCGAGCTTTCGACTGTGTTCTTGAAGCACTTCCACAGTGTTTAATTGAAAGCGATAAATCCTGAAATGATAAATTGTGACAATGCACTTCACTTCAAACATTTGGGAATCTCTTTTCAATTGCCACAATAATTAGGTATTTCGAAAAAAATTAAACAACCCAAATCTGTACAAAAAGCTACACGGTCATTGAGAACAACCCCAATTTGAGTTCAGTTTACTCATAATCGCCAAAAGTGTAGGAACTCAGCGATGAGTGAATTTGTCACATGTTTTTTTTTCTGTGGAAAACTTTAATGAGGAAAATTGACGAAAAATTTCACTCAGTCTAGGAGTAGTACCAATAGACTGAATGAATGCAATCTTTAATTTTCTCATATTCGGGAATTTTTTCCTGCACAAACCTGGAAAACTTGAGGCAACTTTACTCATGGCGGCTATAGCCAGTCGTTCCTGCACTTTGTGATTTATTCGTAAACTAAACTCAAATTTGAGTCGTTCTCATTGGCCGTATATACCTACACCTAAACGGGTCCTCCGCCAGTCGTTTTTAGCCGAGACACGCACTGATGGAACTGTACAAAGTGAGTTATCGCATCTACCATTGCCTCGCGCCAGCGAACCTGAAATTGAACAAACCTTGCTGCTAAATACAACACGACCGACTGTCAATGACAGCTGATAAGACGGCAACAAATTTCGTACGGAGCTGTGACATAATTACTCACCCCAAGAATGATGACCCAGAAAGGTTCCCCCGGAGAAGGAATTTCATTCGATGTGGCCTTGAATTTGCTATCACAGACCTGACGTAACCGATCCGCAGGCTCTGCCCACACAGGAGCGATATCACAGCACTACAAGGCAACCCGTGCACTCTCACTGCAACCAGCAGCTGGAAAATGGAAATCCAAGTAAATTGCTTACACCACCGATGCCTCCTCAACTCAGCGACTAACACGTTGCCGTTTGAGAGTTTATTTACCTACCTTGCAATGCACTACACGCTATCGAGAGAGCCAGTCAGCTCTCTCCGTCTTCCTTCCCCCTCTCTCGTGTTGGCACACGTGCAAATTTTCCACAAACTGAGTGATTGTTTTTCCTGATGAGAAAAACTGTGATTGCGATCGCAATGCACGATCTCTATGAACCAAACCGACCGACGACGGTGGGCACTGTTTTCGTTATGTTGTTGCTTTCGTCTACTACGAACTGAGCAAGTAGTAGAGCAACTCAATACGAAACATGACACACACAAACAAAGGACGCGCAAACGGTTTCATTCAATAAACACTGATGAGGCACTGATTGGCATGCGCAAAAAGGGAAATGCTAGTTAATAGTAAATGTATGTAGTAATTATTATGGCATACATTGCTTTATGAATTTGTATGCGTTAGGGTTGGCGGTTTGGTAATTATTAAATTATTTGCTGATTCATTGATAGGATCGATGAAACGGTGTTGAATATGATGCAATGTCAAAAATCACTGAAGTCAACCAATAAATTGGAAGTCATGCAGAGAACAAAATGGGTATCGTTGTTTGCGGATGGAATTTTAGCCGGTATTCCTTTTTTCCCAATTCCTTGCTGCCTGAACTGCGGTAGTCAGAATACTGACTGAATGATATCTTTATTACCAATCAGACTGAGATAAGAATACGACTACCATTAACCAGGTATCATAAAAAAATAATACGAGCTAAGCCTTCATCCGCAAACAACGGTAACTCTCTGTAATTCAGTAATCAGGGACCATACGTAAATTATGTCACGTGAAATTGAGGTCATATGGATCAAAAGGTTTGATGATGCAGAATTCAATAATTTTGCACGGTGAGGAACATTTTAAAATGCTTCTATTTCTGAAATAATTCGTTTAATTGATTGTATCAATGATTCTACGGGGGAGGAACAGTCAAGGGCTACTCAATAGACGTATTATATTAAATATTCTAAGTATTCCAAAATATTTTATGAAAGCAGTAGAAATAGATTTCAATATTTCTTCCCCCACAGTAACATTCAAATTAGTTGAAAGTACTTCATTTGAAAACTATAAGCATTTTAAATTTTCTCTCCCATACCGTGCCATGCAATAATATTGAAATCAAGCCTTGTTTCAAGATGGCGGGTTTTAGAGGCCTATACCCAGGGGTTGAAACGGTCGACGTTTTTTACTACACTCGCTTCGTTGTCATGCGCGACAGTCTGTTTGTATTCATACTCTCATGCGCTACCGTCGTCTCTCTTATACAACACAAACGGTAGAACAACATTCGAGCAAAAAAAATTTATCAAATAACTATCATATGATAATAACTATGTGTGATTTCGTTCTAATTCCTCAATTTGGTGTAAATTAAACCATTTCTGATCAGAAATGTTATTATTAAGACATCATTGCTTGCTATTTTCAGAATTCACACAAGCACAACATCAGCAGCTTACGAGAAAAACTAAAATACATACATTCGTGACGATCTTCGGTGACAGTGTCGTATGACAGAGCTTGTCATGACATTTTAGTTTGGTACTGTAATTTGATTGCTCGTTTTGCAAGTGTTGGAAGCAAAGGCTGTCGATTATCACAGAAAATGTGTCGATTACGGTGACCGCTTACAAGACTGGTCTTGAAAACTGAAAATAGGTTTATTCAGTATTATTTTGAAGATCAGAAACACTGCTTCACAGAATTTCACATGTCTTCAAAATTAAGACATATCTTCAAAACGAATGAGAGCTCCATTGAACTTTAGAGAAATTTAGCAAACTTTGATAAAGTTAGATGGTTTAGTTAAAACGATCGGGGAACTTAGGTGAAGTTCAGGGAATTTTCTCCAACTCCAGGGAACTTCGTAAAATGTAAATGACTTCATAGAAGTTCAATGAATATCACAAACATTCAGGAAACCTCGTATACATTCAGGGCACTTCGTAGAGCATAAAAAAGCGTCACTGGAAATCAGTAAACTTCGTTGGTGTGGTAGCTTTGAAGAAGTTTAGGGAATTTCGTAGAAACTCAGGGAACATTGTTTAACCCAGACCAGTATTTTTTCTTCTATAATCATGTTAATCTTAAATCTTTGCGAAGCCAACGATTGTTCCGTAAACCTGAAGCTGCTGAACGCCGTCAATAGGATTTGATGTGTGGAACTGCAAGCTCAATATCTCCATCTATCGGCACTTTTGCTGTACCACCTCCTAGGCAGAAGTTTTGGCTCTACCTTTCGCGTATTTCTCGTGGCGTCACAGTGGAGCAAGTACGTGAACTGGCGATGCAGAGGTTAGGAATGAATGACGTTGAGACATTCAGACTAGTCGCCAATGGTAAGAATGTCAGCAGTCTGTCATTCATTTCGTTCAAACTCGGTATGAGTCCTGAGCTGAAAGCAAAAGCTCTTTCGACTGCAACGTGGCCAAAGGGAATACTATTCCGTGAGCTCAAGGACAACAGGAATGTTACAAATTTTTGGAACCCTTCTCGAACGCCAAATGCCAATTTATCCCACAGCATGGAGTCACCCAATTACCCGGATCACCAAGACAACGCCATGAAATAATAAGTGACAAATCCCATCGCTGCACAGAGCTCGTCAACCAACCTGTTCCTGAATGGCCGGTTTCGTCATTGCCACCTCTTTGACACATGTTTCACTTGTCTCTACCGAACTTCATCCAAACTCTTTGCCAGTCCAGCAAATTCCATTTGGCTTTTCTTATCAGCCACAGTTAGGCAGCTGTACACTGGGACGCACCGAAGTTGGCTTCATGGAAGCCCTTGTACCTCCCACCACAGTCAAGCCATTCCAGCCAGCGTTCAGCAGTCGTCCCGGCCCTGCGTGTGGGAGTAGTGCAGGGGTCTTCCAACTCGACAGCATAGGCAAGTCAACTTCTGTTATCGATTCAACGACTCCTGATCCGCTCTTTGTCTTCCAGCCAATATTCGCCTGCACCATCAAGGCATCCTTCGCAAGTTGCTCAGACTCTTGAAACTATACTTGCTCCTTCAGACTTGCTGCTGTATTTTCAGAACGTCGGTGGTATCAACTGTGTCGACGATTTTCGCGTAGCTACCTCGGATCTTTGTTACGACATCATTATTCTCACGGAGACATGGTTGGATTCACGCACGCTCTCTCGTCAGGTGTTCGGCGACGATTATGAAGTTTTCCGTTGCGATAGGAATGCTGCTAATAGTCGGAAAGTTAAAGATGGAGGTGTTTTAGTGGCTAAAAATTCTAGGTTTAAAGCAAGGTTACTAGAAAATAATGCTTGGACATGCTTAGAGCCGAGGGGGACGACTCTATCTACGATGCAAAAAAGATTGTGATTCGCTAGTGTGAGATTTGTTGACCATCTAAACTTGAGATTTAGATGTGTCGCCCCCCTCGCTTAGAGCAGGTGTGGACGTTAATTAAACTGGGCGATCGTACCTTGTTTCTCTGTGCGGTTTACTTTCCTCTCGACTGTATACGGGAGCGTGACCTCATCGAAACCCATTGCCAATCGGTTTTCTCTGTTCTGGATACCGCCAAAGCAACCGATGAAGTTATTGTGTTTGGTGACTTCAATCTCCCGGGGATTTCATGAAAAAAAAAACTCACAACGGCTTCGTCTATCCTGACATGAATCACTCTGTCATCCATTCCTACGCTTCGCTCCTTTTGGACAATTACAGCTCAGCCACTCTTTCTCAAATCAACCATATTATTAACCAGAACAACCGCAGTTTGAATCTTTGTTTTGTAAGCGCCCAGGACATGGCTCCTTTCTTATGCGAGGCGCCCACTGGTGACGTTAAGTACTAAGCTGATGCATGATTTTAATATTTCACCTGCCACCGTTTCCTACGATTACCGCAACGTCGACCATGGTAGTATCGCCGAGTTACTCTCCAATTTAGATTGGGACGACTTATTGGACACCGTTGACATTGAATCCGCCGCTCAAACTATTTCCAATGTCTTGGCATATATCATTGACAGACACGTTCCGAAAAAGATTCATCATCATACGACCCATCCACCATGGCATACGAGCGAATTTCATCGACTGAAATCCAGAAAGAGAGCCGCTCTTAGGAAGTTCACCAAGCACCGCACACTATCCCTTCAAAGTCTCTATGTCAGGATCAATCACGCATACGAGTTGCGAAAAGGTGCTTTCTTCAGTATCGACGTGGATTGCAGAGACAGCTTAAGTCACGTCCCAAGCAATTTTGGAAGTTTGTCAACGAACAACGTCATGAAACTGGTCTGCCGTCGGCTATGACACATAATGGTAACTTGGCCTCATCTACGCAAGATATCTGTCAGCTGTTCTCTGAAAAATTTGCTAGTGTCTTCACGGACGAGAGACTGAGTGACGACCATGCCCGATTGGCTGCCAGTTACGTACCACTCTCTGGCCAAACCATGAGCAGAATTGACATCAATCCCGAGATGTTTTTCAGGGCTTCCTCGAAACTCAAGTCGTCGTACAATCCGGGTCCTGACGGAATTCCATCGGCGTTCCTCAAAACGCACTTGGACAGTTTGTTGTCTCCACTGCTGCACGTTTTTCAACGGTCTGTGGACGTCGGAGTTTTCCCATCCTGTTGGAAGCTAGCGCACATGTTTCCAATACATAAAAAAATGCAACAAACAGGACGTTGGCAACTACCATGGCATTACTTCGCTTAGCGCTGTTGCTAAATTGTTCGAACTCGTTGTTATGGAACCGTTACTCGCTCACTGTAAGCCGTATATTAGTATCGACCAGCATGGTTTCATGGCTGGTCGCTCCACTGCCACTAACTTGCTGTGGCTTACTTCCTACATCTCTAACAGTATGTCGGATCGTGCTCAGACGGATGTCATTTATACTGACTTATCTGCTGCCTTCGATAAATT